AACAACAACAACAACTGGTTTGTTTTTATACTCTTTTATTTTGACAATTTTAAAGGCACAGAAAGAGTAGAAAAAACAATCATTCAACACCTTTAGGGGCCTCTCTGTTTTTCATCAGCTATTAACATCTTTTTTTCTCACCCCATTTTCCCCATTTATTTGTGTATATGCATACAAATACCTTTTCCGTTGTCATATTACAGATTTGACACTTCTCCCTTAAATACTTTAGCATAAATCTCCCAAGAATAAGCATTCACTTATACATCCTCATTATCATAACCATGTATTTTGAAAAAATATTATCATTAAATATAATACATATTCCAGTCTCTTCTCAAAGCATATTTTATGACTTCCATTTTTTTATTTTTGCCTCAGGATCCAGTCAAGGGTCAAACATTACATTTGTCTTCTATATCTCTTTAGTCTCCCCTAGTCTACAATAGTGTCATTTCCCTTTTTACTTCATAATGATTGAACCTTTGAGTCCAAGCCAGTTGTCTTGCAGAACATCCCACATTCTGAAAACTATCACTATAATAAAAGTAAGCTCAAAAAACAAGGGGATATTAATAATTCTATGTATGTTTGCCCTTTGCTTATTTTTTTTACTATGCAAAAGCATATTTTTTTTATTGTGGTTTTAATTGAAGTTCACAAAAAAGTTGGATTTTTCTTCATTCATTGTTGTACGTTTTTGTCCCTACCCCCCACCTTGCAATTTACTTTTTGTTAAAAAAAACAAAAAGCCCATTCGGGGTGAGGGAGTTCGTAAGGAGAAAAGTGCAACAATGAGTGACTGGAAACCCTAAGTTTCTGTGTACTTTCATTAAAATTATTTTTTTTTAGTTTTTTTTAAAAGTTAATTTTTTTAAAAAAACATTCATTCATTGTTGCATAATTTCCGTACCCCATCCCTGCCCAGTTCACTTTGCTATGCACCTCTTATTCTGGTCTTAGGGACTTTTGTCATACATATAATGCCTAATCATATATTCCTCTTAAACGGGTTTTTCCTTTGTTTGTTCCACTACAGTATTCACTGTTTATCCCCTCTTTTCTTAGTTTTCCCTCAACTCCCATGTGAGTCCTGTTTTATGAGTGGTGTTATAGAGTATTTGTCCTTTTGTGACCAAGATAGTTCACTCAGCAAAATGTCCTCTAGGGTTCCCCATGTTGTGTAGTATTTTATGAGCCCCTTGTTTTTCAGTGCTGCATCATATTCCATTGTGTGAATATACCATGTTCTGTATACTATACATTCATTTGTTGATGGGCACTTGGGTTTCTTTCATCTCTTTGCTATTGTGAGTCATGTTACTCACAATAGCAAAGAGATGAAAGAAACCCAAGTAAACAAGGGTGTGTATATATGTTTTAGGTCTCAGCTCTGGTTTCTGTAGGGTATATTCCCAGTAGTGGAATTGCTGGATCAAGTGTTATTTCTATTTGCAACTTTTTGTGAAAGCTCTATACTGTCTTCCATAGTGGTTGCACCATTTTACATTCCCACCAGCAGTGAATAAGGGTTCCATTCTCTCCACAACCTCACCAGCATTTGTTGTTTGCTGCTCTGTTAAACTTTGCTATTGTTACTAGGGTGAGATAATATCTCTTCATTGTTCTTAGTTGCATCTCTCTGAGAACTTTGGTTATATTTTGATTAATATATACCCTTAAAATCAACTATTGCTTAGTGATCATTATATGCTGTGATTTGCTGTATGTTGTTGTTAAGTGCTGTCGAGTCGTAGGCTACTCATAGGGACCCTATGAAAGAAAGTCCTCAACACTTGTGTAACTTTCATCCTTTCTGCAGATTCATAGGGTTTTCAAAGGCAGGCCATTACGGAAGTGGATGCCACTGCTGCTTCCAAGTATACAGACATGACTTATAACATCCTACTATTTATATTATTTTACATAACTTTCATTGTGTTCATTTAGTCTTGTTTCTAGTAATATTTTTATGACAACCTATCAAGTATATAGTATTTGATCCTGAGGTAGTATTAAGTAAATCCTGCACATTTATTTTAGATACAAAATGTACCCTTATCATTTGGGAGGAGGCAGAGATATGGAGAGGGCATTTAATACTTTTCATGTTTATAAATGTAAAATTGTTTATAAATGTAAAATACTATTTAATCTAAAAGTTTACTTGGACTAGAAATCTTTATTATTTCAGTGATTTCTGTGTCAAATTTTTTATCAGAAAATGTTACACTTCTGTATTCAAATATTTGCAACATTCTTTGTTAATGCTGATTTTGTATACAATTAAAGGCAAATGAAAAGTTTATGGTATAGTGGTTTCTCTAATTGAAAATAATCTCATCTGGAGTTGAACATTTTTTTACAATTGAGGTTGTTGAAAGCAGCAGTTCTTTAGAACTGCATTTCCTTAAAACTTTTTTAATGGCTTTTTCTTTCTTTTCAAGTCATCTTTTGGTTACTGCAACACATATGTACTGTTTAAGGGAGATTCTTTCACGGAAAGGATTGGCTTATATACAGTCTCGACAAGCACTAAATTCTGTAGTTAAAATTACATCCAAAAAGAAACATCCTGAGCTGATTACCTTCAAGTACGGAAACAGCAGTGCTTCAGGAATAGAAATCTTGGCAATTGAAAGGTAAAGTATTCTTAGTATGATATTACCTGAATTAAAACCAATACATTATTAAGCATTTGTTTTTCTGTTTGGGAGAATGGATGACACAATAGAGTACTTGAAACATTTTTATTAATAATTTTGGCATCTTTTTCTTCTTAACTCCTTAGTCAAATGTGATGTAGCTATTATGATATATTCTTAATAGTTACTTTAGTGAGTTCCATGACACTTTAACCCAATTCTATACTACATTCTGGTTTGTAGAGATAAGATTCTTATCTTAGAATAAAAGTTAATATTTTAGTTTGGTAAGTCGCACATATAAAATTTCTTGCTTTGAAAATCACAAGTGAACTACTAAACAGTAATATACAAGCTTGTCCTTACTTCATGTGGACCAGTAACAAACAGATCACAGACTGACATGCTGGCAGTGAACCACACTGAACTCAGTGCTAAGCCATCTTTTATAGATAAAAAAGAAGCTGACAGAGGTTGATTTACCAGGCCTTCACACTGCTCCTCTTTTATGCTCACCTTCTGTTTTTAAGCATGATGTCATTTTCAAAGAATTAGTTTTTGAAAATTTATTTATTTATACATACTTTATTTATATTAAATGTATAAAATATATATGCATCTTTTTATGCTTCTGGAAAAGAAAATTGATGTTGATAACTTGAAATGTTTACCACATATAGTGCTTTTTAATATTTTATACACTAGTATTATTTAGTACACATAGCCCCTCTGTAAGATTGGGATAACTGTACCTATTTTTTTAATATAGCATTCTGCTGCTTCACAAATGTTCTTGGTCAAACTGTTAAGTGTTGGAGTTGTCATTGTCTTTAGGATTAAATACCATCAAAACATAACTATACGTTATATCTGTATAGGCTGGCTGATATTTTCATTTTTATCTAGCCATTGTGTATTTAATGTTCAAATACTGCTTTTGTCACATTTCATAGGGAGCTTTATTTAACATGTAGGGAGCTGGTGATGTCGTTTCTAGAGAGTTCCACCGGTAACCCAAAGGCCATGCCTCTGTAGCAGTTCAAATCCAGCAAAGGTTTCTTGAGAGACACAGCTAGGCATTTCCTCTTGTGCCATTTACGACCTTGAAAATGCCACTGGAGGGTCAGCTGTAAGTAGGACTAAATTGACAGCAATGCGAGAGTTGAATTTATTTAACTGTGTGCTGAGAATTTAGAAATGTTAATTATAAATATGTGACCACTATGAATTCCTGTATAATGCAAATTCCAGTCTTAGATAAAATATTGGAGAGCTCACTGGGAAGCTTACAGTAGCTTACTGGAACCAAAATTGTCTAATGAGACTGGAAAACTATATAATATCTGGGTAATCTTATTTGTCTCCTGAACTTGAAGCTTAGTTAATACAAATAAGCATTTTAACTGAAATAAGAGTCAATCTATAGTGCACCGAACAGGAACTTTCTTTGCTCCCAACTTAATATCTAGATTTTTATTGGCAGTAATTTTTAAGAATTTGTATTTTAAAGACTTTAGTAACATATTTTTCTCCCCCATAGGTATTTGATTCCAAATGCAGGAGATGCCACCAAAGCCATAAAACAACAGATTATGAAGGTTTTGGATGCTTTGGAAAGTTAATATAAAAGAAATTCATTTACAAAGAAATTAAGGCAACTAAGAGAAAGATGGATCTGTTTTCCTGATTGAATACTAACTGTGGAGACCTTTCATGTACTTAGGGGTGCATGAATAACAGGTCTAAGAAAGTGTAAATTAACCAATTTCTGGACAGTTAGAAAAAAACTACAGGTGTTTTTTTTCATTTTTTGTTTTGTAAAATGATTTGTTATAAAAGGCAGTTAGTAAATGAGTTTGAATAATTGACCCTGTGCCCTCATATATCAAGGGTACACAAAAGCAGTTCTGTTTTGAAGAGCTGTTTTAAGGGAACATGCATCGCTTTCAGATTTAAAACAACTTTATACATGCAAATTTGCCATGTCTTCACTGAAAATTAAAAATAGAATTAGTTGAACAGACCCCTTATTATTCATTTCACCCACTGAGCAATATCAAACAAAAAATTATTAAATAAATTAATCTTTATCTCACAGTTTCTCTTCTTGAAAAGAATGAAATCTTTTTAATGAGATAGAGAAATAGTTCAGCCAACTCAGAAATGCAGTTCCACCTAGTTCAATGTTGAGACATTGGTTTCTAGATTACTCTTGCACCATTAGCTAATTTGAACACAGTGCTTCAGAAATACAAAACCTGATGCTAATGGTTTTTAAAAGCCGTTAAAAGCTTTATAATACGGTAGACATGTTAAGGTTAACATTAACATTTTGGGGACAGCATTTTATCTCTAAAAAGCTGTCATTGGTCATTTTGCAAGTGAAATATTTAGGATATTTCAAAATGTGTTGTACACACATTTTTTCCTTACTGAGATTATGTTATATAGCATAATCACATTGACTTCCACTTAAAACCAAATAATCAGAGAGCTTTATAAATTATCATTTTTTTTATCACTTACTGAAATTTATCTTTTATTGGTTTTGTCTTTTCATTAAAGTTCTAGTAGTTTGAAGACATTTTTCTTATTTTAATATGACAAAACTGAAAAGCAATCGGCTTTATTTTGCAGCTTTCTCAGTTTAATTTTTTGAAGTATGTATACTACCTTTGAGGGAAATCCAAGAATGCATTTGGGGCCATGAAATGATTTTTTTTTACAATCTGTTTGAGAATAGCAAATCCATACAATCTGTCATGCTCTAAATGTAATGGATTCTCTTTTAAGGGTTGATAGGAGAAATATTTATATATACCCTGTTAACAGCCAATTATTTTAATTTACTTAATGAGAATCAAGTGAATAAAAGCAACATAATTCAAGAAATTGTATTCTAATATCTAAATAAAGGCCAATGAGTGGTTAAAGACATTTGTATGAGATTGCACCTGGTGCAATTCTTGGTATTTCTAACTCTCCCTTACAACTATTCTATTACATCTTTTCCTTTTCTTCTTACCCCCTTTCGAAATATTCTAAAGTCCGATTTTTCACCCACTTCAGCCATGGAACTTTTTTCATATTATAAAGATGTTTGTGTTACTGTTTGTAAAATACAATTGTAAATAAACAAGTACAGTTTGCTCAAAACTTTGTTCTCAGTGAAGTGTATCTGTCCTTTTGCACACTCATTTGAAGATCTTTAAATGCCAAAAAAAATCAGAAAACTGAGTGTTATCATTTTGTTGTTATTGTTTGCTATCAAATCAGAACCAGCCTATAGCTGACCCTTCAATGGGTTCTTAGGTAGTTAAGTCGCAGGAGAGGAGATTGCCCATCTCTGTCTTAAGAGGCAGCTATTTGAACTGCGTGCTTTTGGGATTTCAGGGTAGCTTTTTTAGCACTAGGCTAGCAGAGCTTCCTGTTACCATTGGTAAAATTTAAATATATTTCAAATTTGTAAATATTAGATACCTATTTCTGTTCATTCAAATGGAAAAGAAAGGAGGTAGTTTAAAACTTATTTGCCATCGAATCATAACCGACCCATAACTGGTCTCCAAAGAGTTTCAGAAGCAATAAATCACAATGGAGAGGATTGTTTAGCCTTCTCCTGTGAAGCAACTGGTGAATTTGAACTGTGTGTTTTTGGTTTGGCAGCACAGCTCCTTACCACCAGGCCACCAGAGCCTAATGTTATTAGTTTAACTGTTTAAACTATTTAAAACTAATGACTAAATCCCATGTTTAAATTACTACCTTGAAGTACTCTCTGAACTTAGTTTCCTCTTCTTTGAACTCTCTGAACTTTAGTTTCCTCCTCTGAAATAACACTATTCTATTATGTATTAAAATGCATTTTATTAACTTCATCAAGCACTAAAACACCAGCTCACTGACCTCATAACTATATTTACTCTTAAATACCATCTCACACAGACACTGATGGATTACAGAAGTGGCACCATTATAAGATAGTCATTATTTTCTGTCTTTAAGATGAGAAAACAGGTCCAAAGAATTAGGCTGTGATCTTTATAGAAGCAGATTGCCAGGTCTTTCTTTTGTGGAGCCTACAAGGGAAAAAAGATGAATACGTTTGAACCACTGATTTAGAGCTGAGTATCATTTGCATTATCCAAGAACCTAAAATAGCTCTGTTGTTAAGTACCATTGAGTCAAGGGCACCTCACAGTGGCTTAATGAACAACCGCTCTGAACCCTGACCTAACTTGTGCTATCCTCAACTTCTCTGACACACTTGAGCCCATTTTGGAGTTACTGTGTCAATCCATATGGTTAAGGGTCTTCTTTCTCTGACCTTTCCAACCATGATGCCCCTTTCCAGGAAATAGCCTCTCTTAGCAACATGCTGAAGGGAACTCGGGTGGACTAGTGACAAGAAGCTTCACTGCAATTCCAAAGGCATATGGTTCTAATCTACCAGCTGCTCCATGAGAGAAGGGTGGGAAATCTCCCGTGTGATTAACTGCCACTGAAAACCCACCAAGAGGGTCACCTATGGTGCAGTTCCGACTGGATGGTGCACAACAACAGCAACATGCCCAAAGTGTGTGAGATGAAACTTTGTTGTGTTTGACTCCAAGAAGTACTCTGGCTGCACCTTCTCAAAGACATCTGTCTGTCTATTCTTTGGCAGTCTATAGGATAGTACTCGCTCCAGCACCAGAGCTCAAAGATAGCAATTCTTCATCTGTCATTGTTAAACATTGTCTAGCTCTCAGATGTATAGCAAACATTGAAAAGACATGGCCTGAATCAGGCTCACCTTTGTCCTCAAACTGACATTGCTCCAATGATTTGGAGAGGTTCCTGACTGCAGACTTTCCCAGTGTATTATGTCTCTCATCTCCTGACTTCTGATACCAAGGGTGTTAATTTGTGGATCCCAGTAAAATGAAATAATTGACAGTCTCAATCTTAGTCCTTATGATGTTGCCTGTCAGTCCAGTGGTGAGAATTTTATTTTCTTGATGTTGGCATGCAATCCATATTGAAAGCTGTAGTCTTTGATCTTCTGTAGCAAGTGTGTCAAGTCCTCATTTTCAGTAGGCAAGATTGTGTTATCTTCATCACAGGTTATTGAAGAGTCTCTGATCCTTATCCACATTCTTCATAGAGTCAAGGTTCTAGAATCATTTACTCTGCATAGAGATTGAACAGGTATGGAGAAAGAATACATCCTTGACACCCACCTTTCATAATTTTAAATCATGTACAAAAGGTGTACTTAGACCAAGAAGCAGTCCTCAGAACAGAGCAAGGAAACACTGCATGACTCAAAATCAAGAAAGGAGTGCGTCAGGAATGCATCCTGTCCCCATACCTTTTCAATCTGTATGCAGAACAGATCATTAGGGAGGCAAGGCTTTTGTGAGGAGGAGTGTGGCATCAAAATTGGAAGAAGACTCACCAACAACGCATGATAATGCAGATGGCACAACCTTGCTTGCTGAAACTGAAGCATGTACTGCAAAAGGTCAAGGACTGTAGCCTTTAATATGGATTGCAGCCTAAGAAGACAAGATTCTCAGCACTGGGCCAATTGGCAGCACCATATTAGATGGTGAAGAGATTGAGGTCATTAGCAGTTACAGCTTGCTCAGATCCACAGTCAATACTTTTAACACCAGCAGTCAGGAAAACGAAAGACGAGTTTCATTGGGAAAATCTGCTGTCATGGACCTCTCCAGAGTGCTGAAGACCAACGGTGTCTAGATAAAAGGTGCACCTAATCCAGGCCATGATCTTCTCAATTACTTAGGCTTCAGAGAGTTGGACAATGACTAAGGATGACAGAAGAGTTGATGCCTTTGAGTTGTGCTGGAGAAGGGTCTTGAACATACCATGGACCAACAAGAAAACAAATAGGTCTATTTTGGAGATGGTGAAATCAAACTCTCCTTGGAGGCTAGGATTTTGAAGTTCTGCCTCAGTAACTTTGGGCATGTGGCCATGAGAGACTGATCCTTGGAGATGGACATCATGTTCACAAGGGTGGACGAACAGCGCAGGAGAGGAAGACCCCGGATGAGACGGATAGATAACAGTGACTGGGGCAAGGGGTGTTGGTGTGTTGGAAGTGAGACTGGCTCAGGACAGGGAAGGGTTCAGAGAGCTGCTGTACATCTCAGGCGACTCAGTGGCATATAGCAGCAGTAACATTCTCTGACAGGTTTGGAAGCAGAAGTGGCATCCACTTCCTAAACAAAATGCCTCTGGGAACTATGAACTTTGATAAATGTTGATAGTTGTAGAGGGGCTTCAGGCCTTTTGTTCACAGTGTCACTATGAGTTGTGCTTGACTCAAAGGAAACCGTGTTTTCTTGCTCTGTTCACACAATAGCTTTGATCTAGGTACAGGTTTCACATGAGCACAAATAAGTGTTCCTGGATTCCCATTTCTCTTGATGTTTGATCCACACAGATGCCTTTGCATAGTCAATAAGGTACAAATAGGCATTCTGGTATTTGCTTTCAACGAGGATCCATTAGTAATGATAATCCCTAGAGCCACGGCCTCTTCTAAATCCAGCCTAAATTTAGGTAGATTTCTATGTGCAGCTCTAGCTGGTTTTGAGTGATGTTCAACAGTATTTTGTTTACATGCAACATTAATTACACTATTCAATAATCACATTCTGTTGGATCCACTTTCTTGGGAAAGGGAACAAATACAGAGCTTTTCCCAACAGCCAGCCATGCAGCTGTCCTAATTTCCTGGCAGACTGGTGAGCACATCCAACTACATCTGTTAGTTGAAACTTGTCAATCAGTATCCCATTGATTTCCTTGGACCTTATTTTTTACAAATGCCTTCAGTGCAGCTTGTTCTTGTTCCTTTATTACCTCTGGCTCTTGATTATATGGTACTTCCTGAAATATTTCAGTGTTGGCCAATTCTTTCTGGTATATTCTGTACCAGTGATTCTGTATTTCCTCCATCTTTTGATGCTTCCTGAATTTTGCCCATAGCACTCTGCAGTGTTAAAACTCGAGGTCTGCATTTGGTTTTCAGTCCTTTCTGCTTGAACATGCTGAGTGAATTCTTCCCTTTTTATTCTCCAATTCTGGCTCCCTGGACATTCCATTATAATACTTTGTTTTCTTGAGCTGCCCTTTGAAATCTTCTGTTTAGCTTTTTTTCTTCAGTATATTTTCTCTTTGTTCTGGCTTCTTTATGCTCTAATGCAACTTTCCCAGTCTCTTCTGCCATCCATTTTGGTTTTTTCTTTCTCCTCTGTTTTTGTAATGACTTTTTGCTCTATTCATGAATGATATCTTTTATGTCATTCCAAAACTCATCTGGTCTTTGATTAATTATTTGTGTTCAGTGCTTCAGGCCAGTTCTTAAGATTTTTAGATTCAGGTGAAATAGACTCTATATTATTTTGGTTCTCTTGGACTTCTGTTTTCTTTGGCCTCAACTTTCACTTACACATATCTAATTGATGGTCTGACCCACAGCCCACCGCTGGCCTTGTTTTGACTGCTGATAAAGAGCTGCTTCAATGATTCCTTCCACAGATGTAGTCAGTCTGATTTCTATGCAGTCCATTAGAGGATTGCCATTTGTGTTTTTTAAATAAAGTTTTTTGTGATAAATGAATCATTGAACATAAAAAACTGAGTCATTCTATTTCCAGCCTCATTTCATACATTCTACCATTCCCTCTTCATTGTTCCCAGCTTTTGCATTCCAGTTACCATTAACTAATCCTGATTGCATGTTTGGTCAATTTCAGACTGCGAAACTTAATAAAAATCTTCAATTTCCTCCTCTTTGGCTTTAGTTGTTGGTGCATATATTTGAATAATAGTCAAACAGGTCTTCCTTGTGTATGTATGAATAATATCCTATCACTCATAATACTTGAAGAGAGAACTAGAAATTGTCTTAACTATGAATGCAACACCATTCTTTTTCTATTTTCATTCTGAGCACTGTATACCATATGATTGCCATTTAATGACAATGGGCATCTCAATTTAATGCCTAGAATGTTGATGATCAAGCGTTACATTTCATTTTTCACCACTTCTAGTTTTCCAACATTCATACTTTGTGTACTTGATGTTCCAACTATTAAGGGATGTTTGCAGTTGCTTCTCATTTTGATTGACTTCCATTCTGGGCTCTACCTCAAATACTGTAACCATCCATGTTGCACTATTCATATGGTTTTCAGAGGCCTTCTATATAAGAAGTGGATGACCAATCTTACTTCCTAGCCTGTCTTTATCTGGTAGTCCTACTAAAACCTCTCCACTATTGGTGACCCTTTGGGCACTTTACTCACTGGTAGCACAGCCTTACTCAACACAACCCACAAACAACCTCAGTACTACAAAGTGACAGACAAGTGTTGTACTAAAAGCAATTATAAAGAACTAAGAGTAAAAGTAAACTATAAATTAGTAGTTAAAAAAAAATTCTCCCAC